CTTACCCTTTCACATAGATGTCACTCATTTCTTCCCCTGTGATACTTTTTTCATCCAGAATGACATCCTTTGTGTTCCAAATAATCACCCGCATGATGTACCTGAGAGAGAAGATGATTGGGGAAAGAGAGTGAATTGGCCAGGTCTGTGCACCAAGGTCTGTAAAGTGCACAATCAATGCACGGCTACTCACTTCTTGGCTTTGCGGGGATTGATGTTGAAGGGAGGGCCAGGAGGTCCCAAGCTTTTGGGGAAAACATCCACCCACATCTGAAGCTTTCCCTGCATTGGTGAAGAAGTCAAGTAAGGGATTTTTGTTGGTTACATGTTTAAAAAACATGCAGGTGTGAAAATTCTGATTGATCCCCAGGTGTTTATATTAGGCTGTGCAGAGCCTGAGATGGTGCCCAGAAGTCTGTAAGTGCCTCTAGAACTAATTTTAGCAGCAGTTGTGGGGCCAAGACCTTCTCCCACTAACGCCAGTGCCAAAGTTCCCACAGTCCTTAATCAGAGTAAGTCTGGGCCCTCAGTTTGTACAAACTTTGAAATCATAGGAATCACAATTGCTATTTTGTTTTATGATATTATGTGGCCCCACAAATGTGCCTGGTGTTTTGCAGCAGATGGCCTATGTTGCATGGGCAACAGGTCTCTGCCCTTGAAGCAAGCACTTCTTAGCTAGATGAGGTCATCTTCCTGATTAGTTTTAAAAGGCCAAAATGTGACCATAGTAGTTTTCTGCTCTATTCCCACTGAAAGTCTATTTCATTATCAGTAACCCCTCAACCATAACAAGAAGCTATTCATTCTCTCCAATGCCTCTCATGAACACCTTTCTTGGTGGATGTAGGACACGCTGTATAGAGCACCTACTTGTAATTAGTGAATGCTGGAGAGTACGGGCTCGATTCAGCCCGCTGGCACAAGGAGGTGCAATTTAAACTTTGCTGTGCCAACGCGAGTCACTGTACCCTGAAGAGGATCCATCGTCAAGTAAAGTCAGGTGGGATTTGCACCAATCCCCTTGAGGGTTCCCCTGGGGCAGGCCAGTTTTAATGTCCTCTAAGGGCTACATGAGGGAGCAGAGGCTGCAGCAGGGATGGGATCAACCAGTGCATTTCCCTGGCTGTCCTAGTGGACTTTACGTCTGAGGACCCTTCAGCACAGTCTACCCTGAATGAAACTGGCATAGACACTTGGGGTAGAATCCTGGCTCCATTGAAGTCAATGGCAAAATTCCCATTGACTTGAATGGGGCCAGGATTTCACCCTTGGTGAACTGAATGAATGCGTTGTTAGTCCTTATTAATACAGTGTGATTCACATCTCTCTCAAGCTTTTTCTCAGACTAAATAGTTTGCTGTGAAAATAGAGGAAATTTTGCAAATGTTACTGGCACAAAAACTCCTTCCCTCCTTTCACTCCTACCCAATGAAACTCACATACGGAAACCTTGTGAAACAGCCTCCTCTGGAGGCTTTGCAAACCATCCCCTTAGCTACTTTCTAGTTTTGTAGTTAGTTTCTTGACTGGGTGGTGGATAATCTGGTTGTCACTGTCATGAGCTCTATTTGTGAGATAAAAGATTTTCCAGTTGTGGGAACGCAGTCTGGTACCGGCAGTTCAAACTAAGTGCCTTTATGGTTGCAAATGTATCAGCCTGGTGGAAACACATGATCTTGGTAACAAGTTTGGTATCAATGGAGAAGGATGACTTCCAAACCACTGGATTAGGTTCACTCCTTTGCTATTGGATTGGCACTCAGTACGGTCCCTGCAAATACGTGTTCATTCCCCTCTCTCATTCCTTTGGTGTGTGAGAAGTCCATCTGGAGTGATCACAACAGAATAAAATTCCATTCTATGTAATCCCTCCCTAATGTGACCATGACCTAGTATCTGGGCACAATAATACTCTCTGCTACCCTTTTTCCTTCACCCACCCCTAATTATAGTAGCACCCTGTGCTATAAATGTAGGCATGCTAGCGTTCTGCATTGCAGAAATCAAAGGTGAAACCAGTTTATAGTACTTGTGAGATGTTGGGCTGGAAGGTGCTGTATAAAGTCCTTGTCTCCACATGTTCAGGGACCAAGCCCTGGGTTCTAAGGATATGAAGGGCTAGACGCTCTTCACCCGGTCCAAGGTGCTGATGCAATTTTTTGTTAATCTCTGAAATTAAAAGAAAGAACTGAAATAGGGCTGAACTCATGACCCAGAATTTGCATTTAGTAATGGACTGTATTCATACATGTAAAAATCAAACAAACGGCAACCATTCTTGTATTTACCTGTCCATGCAGAGAGAGAATGCAAACTTTAGTACAAAATATACTTGTTTTTTTACTCTTATTCTTCACATTGTTATAATTTAAAGTTTTTTATTTCTATAAATCTGTGCATTCAAAAGAAATAAACATGCAGTAAATAGCAATGAGCTCACCAAATTCCTCCAAGGTGTAGTCTTGTCCTCCATAGTTAATCCTGCTTCCATTTTCTGAGAGGATAGGAGGAGAGTAGCCTTTAAACCTGGCTATATTTTGCAACATGTGTGTTGGCTTCAGTTGATCTCGCCAGGTATTTACACCTGAACTTTTAGGAAATAGAGCAGATCTTGGAATTAGTACACTCCATGCTGTTTTCCCCCAAAACACATAAAAATGCAATAGCTAAATAGTTGATGGGTGGAGTTATACCAGGGCTAAATTTTGCTACTTGACTGCTGTATTAGTGAGGGTTTTATAAAGATAAAATTCCATTCAAGGTCACAGCTTTCAGTGGTAGCCATGTTAGTCTGTATTTGAAAAAAAAAAAAAAAAAAGCGTCCTCCTCATTTCATATATCTATCTATCTATCTATGAATTCAAGGTCAGTTAAAGTTACTCAGTATGTGTTGTTTTAAGCCCCATCTCTGTGTATTGGGAAAGGAGAAATCATTACAGCAAATTCATCTTATTGCAACTCATGTTTTTGTATTTAATGCCCTGTGCTTCTCAGATAATTCGATTACATGTTCTCTCTCTGTATGCAAGTAATACTTCCTACCACTAACAAAACGTTGCATCTAGAGAAAGAATCTGCCTAAGAATGTGTGGAGTAACAGTTTTTGTAGACTCTTCCTAAAAAATTGCAGTTTTTCTTTAGACTGTAGATGATTCTATAGGTACACAAAACAGGTAGCAGAGAGGCCATAGCACTTTCTATACAACCAAATGACAGTGAAGAAAACCTGGCTTTTTCAATTATTAGAGATCTTACTTTACTGGCACAATGTTTGAGGAGACAAAAGCGTGACTTACATGCAATACTGCTGTGGTATGCCACAATGAGCTCCAAAGCGAGAAAGGAACCTGTTCTCAAGATCAATGATGGTTTCACCAACTTTTTCATCACGAGTCAGCATATCATAATCATAGACTGAAATTTTCAGATCCTTCTCTTGAGGCAAGAAGCAGCTGAGTTCATACATTCTAAAAGTACAAGGTCCAGTTAAATATTAATGGTCATGAAAGTTCATTTCTGAGAAGTAGTCATTTAAAAAAATACCCTTGGTGCTGATAGACCTAAAATTAGAGTTACCATTGCTGTTTTGCTTTGTGCCTCCACACATGAATAAATCTGTATGTGTTCACATGGGTACCATGGCTTTAACAATCCTACCCCTGCCTCCTGCAGATTCTTTAGAACCATTGTAATCATGTGCAGCCAGAGTTGGGACTTAGATAACAGCTATCAACAGTTTAGGGAATGCTCGTCCAAAGACCCTTGTCTGGGGCCTGATAGCTACTTTTCAAAAATCACTGTTATTTAATCCATGTTTTTCGTATGTGCAGAAACTTTAAGAATTTCACCTTGCCAATCTGTAACTGTGATGATTATTCTAAGTTTCCTCTGCAAAATTTCTTCATCTAATTTGTTGTTTTGGGTGGTATAAGTATCATAACACCCGAGACATGCACTCTCTTATACAAGTCACACTGTGTCCCCATCGCACAAACTTTCTAGCAGCTTTCAGATTGTTATAAAGTAAACAAAATTCACAAGCAATGTAGATGTCTATTAGCAATTCACAGCATATATGGATCACTTCTTTATATTGTGACTAAGTTCCTCCTCTATCTTGGTGGGTCCTGGGCTTATTGGCGGATTTTCTTGCCTCAAAGGTTCACCATATGGGTTGGGGAACAGCCCAGAGACCTTCCCCTCTGGGAGAACCCACAGTCCAGGTCAATTGGGAGGTTTGGGGGGAACCCGGACCCGCCCTCTACTCCGGGTTCCAGCCCAGGGCCCTGTGGACTGCAGCTGTCTATAGTGCCTCCTATAACAGCTGCATGACAGCTACAACTCCCTGGGCTACTTCCCCACGGTCTCCTCCAAACACCTTCCTTATTCTCACCACAGGACCTTCCTCCTGGTGTCTGATAACGCTTGTGCTCCTCAGTCCTCCAGCAGCACACCCTTTCACTCTCAGCTCCTTGTGCCTCTTGCTCCCAGCTCCTCACACTCCCACCACAAACTGAAGTGAGCTCCTTTTTAAAACCTGCCTTAATTGATTCTAGAAGCTTCTTCTTAATTGGCTCCAGGTGTCCTAATTAGCCTGCCTGCCTTAACTGGTTCTAGCAGGTTCCTGATTACTCTAGTGCAGCCCCTGCTCTGGTCACTCAGGGAAC